GCTTGTTTATACATCGGTCACCTGTAAGTTTGGTCAGCACAGGTCAGTCCCTGGAACCTAGAAAGCCTGGCAGCATGGGGGGCACCTACCTGGATGCTGCACCAAGAAGCCCCTTCTCTGGCCCAAAAGTCGACTCTAACCCAGCGGCTCTGCTAATGCTGCTGGGGACCAACCAGAGCAGGACCCGGCACCAAATCAAGCTCCAAGCAGCAAGTTCTTACCGCCTCCCAAATGGGACCTGAAGGGCACATTGTCAAAGCACATTTTTACCCAGAACCCAATGTAGTTAAAAAATGGGTGAGAAGCAGATCAGAGACCTCTGGGAGGAACCGGGAACCAGAGGTGGAAGTACCTCCATACAATCCATTCACACCCAACCTGAGCAAGCTGTTCTCACAAGGCTGGTGACGAGACCTGGTAGGGTGGGAAGGCACCCAGCCAAAGATGCCCGGGTCTCATTTGTTCACCCCTCTGCAGCGAATGCTTCGAGCAGGGAAGGCCCTCACTCACCGCTGTAGGGAGCCTCCTGGGCGCCCCAGGCAGACCCAGTGGCCTTCCCTGCCCCTCGCCACCCTGTGGTACGTGGCTGACCTGCCTCAGCTGGTGTACCAGGGTCACCAGGAGAGTTCTGTCAGCTCTCGAGGTTCACCAGGACCTATGGAATCAGAACTAGGGGGGCGGGGAAGGATGCTGTGCAGACATGTATGTGTACGGGGCAGAGATGGCCCGGCTCAAACTCAGGAAAATCAGGCCCAAGGGGACCACCAGACCCCCGCACCCCACAGCCTCCAATGTCCTGGGGTTCAATAGTCCTAGTCCCACTTTTCTAGCAGACACAGCTTCTGTTTATACACATACCACCTGGGGTGGGAAGAAGCATATGAGTGGCTCCAAAGTTGGGTCCCTTCCCACTCCCACAGGTGACCTGCATTCCCAGGGAAGGGGGCTCACGGCATCAGACTATGCTGCTGCTGTGACGACTTAGAGTCTGACCGAAAGTAAAGTGTGAAAGGCACCAGCCTGCAACAGACCACAGGGTTCATGCCTCAGTGGCACCACGTCCAGGATGTGAAGCAAGGGACTTCGCTTGTGTAAGCGAAGTAAAATGGCTTAACAACAGAGTCTACCTACCTTGGAAGGCAAGAAGGAGGTTAAAAAAGCAAACTTGTAGGAGACTTCCGCCAAGATGGAGGCGTAGGTAAAAATACTCTGCCTTCTCTCACAACCAAGTTTAAAAACAACAAAGTTTTAGCAACAAAAACACAGCCAAACCACAGAAAATTGAACTATATGGAAGTCTAACAACAAAGAACCCTTCAGCCAAACCGGTAAGAGGGGCAGAGCCAGCAGCAGAGCGGGGTTGGGCAGGAAAGATCTACCAGACCGACCAGGCGTGGGACCCAGGCGGGCAGGCAGTGGGCGGATCCCAGGTGTGGAAAAGCAGGTGGACCCACTGAGGGCTGACCACAGTCACACATTCACACGCGGATAAGCCTCGAAGGAGCAAGCAGTGAGACTGAGACACACCTCACAGGCCCCAGCAGCAGGAAGCAGCAGAGGGGACCGCCATTGTCCCTCTCTGACCACGCCCCCCACATACAGTGTCAGAAATCAGCAACCTGGGTAGCCCCACCCTGGTGAACACCTAAGGCTCTGCTCCTCATACTTAAAGGGCGCAAACAAAGCAAAACAATATGGCTCAAGAAGAACAGCTCAGGGACTTCCGCCAAGATGGAGGCACAGGTGGATATACTGTGCCTTCTCACACAACCAAGTTTAGAGACAACTAAATATTAGCAACAGAAAACACAGCCAGAACACAGAAAATCGAACTTTTCAGAAGTCTGTTAACAAATTCTTCGGCCTGACCGGTAAGGGGCGAAACCAGCAGCAGGTGGAGCCGGGTTGCACAGGAAAACTCGGTCAGACGGACTCAGGCGCGGAATCCAGACGCAGGGTTGGACCTACTGAGCGACAGACAGAGCGGGCGACCAAGTGAGCAACCGCGGGGAAACAGCGAGGGAGCAGAGCTGCGGGTTGACTGTGGTCGTGCATTTGTGCACGGATAGACAAGTGAGGGAGTGGGCGATTGGACCGTGACCCAGCGGGTCCTCACAGCAAGCAGTAGGGAGGGTGCCGCCATTTCCCTGCTCTGACCCCACCTCCACATACAGCATCATAACCCAGCGACTCTGAGTGGCCCAGCCCTGGTGAACCACCTAAGCCTCTGCTCCTCACCCAGCTGCGAGAAACCGCAGAGGGGGCCACCATTTTCCCGCTCTGACCACGCCCCCACATACAGCGTCACAACCTAGCGACCTGGGAGTCCAAGGCACCACTCCTCACACTTAAAGTGCCAGAACAGACCAAAAATGGCTCAAGAAGATCTCAAAGCCCCAGAGCCTATAAATCTAGGTGATGAAGAAATAGCAAAACTCTCAGACGCACAGTTTAAAACACTGGTCATCAGGATCCTCACAGAACTGGTTGATTATACTGACAAATAGACAAATATATGAAGGCGAAACTAATTGAAATGAATGGAATTGCACAGGACACCAACAGCAATGAAAAGGAAACTGGGACTCAAATCAATGGAGTGGACCAGAAGAAAGCAAATAATGGCCAAACAGAAAAGAGTCAAGAAGTAAGAATTCAAAGAAATGAGGAGAGTCTTAGGAACCTCCAGGACATCTTTAAACGCTCCAACATCCAAATTATAGGGGTACCAGAAGGGGGAAAGGCACAGCCACCAGTGGAAAACTTATTTGAACAAATAATAAAGGAGAATTTCCCCAATCTGGCAAAGGAAATAGACTTCCAGGAAATCCAGGAAGCTCAGAGAGTACCAAAGAAGTTGGACCCAAGAAGGAACACACCAAGGCACATCATCATTACATTAGCCAAAATTAAAATGAAGGAGAGAATCCTAGAAGCAGCAAGAGCTAAGGGGACAGTCACCTACAAAGGAGTCCCCATCAGACTGTCAGTGGATTTCTCAAAAGAGACCTTACAGGCCAGAAGGGGCTGGAAAGAGGTATTCCAAGTCATGAAATCCAAAGACCTACAACCAAGATTGCTCTATCCAGCAAAACTTTCATTTAGAATGGAAGGACAGATAAAGTGCTTCTCAGATAAGATCAAATTCAAGGAGTTCATCATCACCAAGCCCTTATTATATGAAATGTTAAAGGGACTTATCGAAGAAAAAGAAGTTAAAGAAGGACAACAAACTCACAGTTATTAACAACCACACGTAAAACAAAAGCAAACTAAAGGACAGCTAGATCAGGAGTGGAAACATAGAAATGAAGATCTCAAGGAGGGTTAGCAACAGGGGAGTGGGAGGAGGAGAAGGGGGGAGAAGGTACAGAAAATAAGTAGCATAGATAGTAGATAGAAAATAGATGGGGGGGGGGCAAGAATAGCATGGGAAATATAGAATCCAAAGAACTTGAGATACATGGTCATAAACTAAAGGGGGGGTAATGGTGGGGACGGGGGGGTAGGGTAGAGGGGAATGAAGGGGGGAATAGAACAACTGTAACAGCATAATCAATAAAAAAAATTAAAAAAAAAAAAAAAAAAAAAAAAAAGAACAGCTCAAAGCCCCAGAGCCAATAACTCTAAGGGATGAAGAAATAGCCAAACTCTCAGATGCACATAACACTGGTCATCAGGATGCTCACAGAACTGGTTGATTTTAGCCACAAATTAGAGGAACATATGAAGGCTAAACTAATTGAAATTAAGGGAAATGCACAGGAAACCAATAGTGATGGAAAGGAATCTGGGACGCAGATCAATGGAGTGGACCAGAACGAAGGAAAAAAATGACCAAACAGAAAAATATGAAGAAACAAGAACTCAAAAAAATGAGGAGAGGCTTAGGAACCTCCAGGACATCTTTAACCACTCCAACATCCGAATTATAGGGATAGCAGAAGGGGAAGAGGAACAGCCACCAGTGGAAAATTTATTTGAACAAATAATTAACGAGAAATTCCCCAATCTGGCAAAGGAAATAGACTTCCAGGAAATCCAGGAAGCTCAGAGAGTCCCAAAGAAGTTGGACCCAAGAAGGAACACACCACGGCACATCATAATTACATTAGCCAAAATTAAAATGAAGGAGAGAATTCTAGAAGCAGTCAGAGATAAGGGGACAGTCACCTACAAAGGAGTTCCCATCAGACTGTCAGCTGATTTCTCAAAAGAGACCTTGCGGGCAAAAAGGGGCTGGAAAGAAGTATTCCAAGTCATGAAAGACAAGGACCTACAGCCAAGATTGCTCTACCCAGCAAAGCTTTCATTTAGAATGGAAGGGCAGAAAAAGTGCTTCTCAGATAAGATCAAATTCAAGGAGTTCATCATCACCAAGCCCTTACATATGAAATGTTAAAGGGACTTATCTAAGAAAAAGAAGATAAAAAATATGAACAGTGAAAGAACAGCAAACTCACAGTGATTAACAACCACACCTAAAACAAAAGCAAACTAAAAGGACAGCTAGATCAGGAGCAGAACCATAGAAATAAAGATCACATGGAGGTTTAGCAACAGGGGAGTGGGAGAAGGAGAAGGGGAGAGAAGGAGGTACAGAAAATAAGTAGTGTAGATGGTAGGTAGAAAATAGATGGGGGGAGGGCAAGAATAGTAGGGGAAATATAGAATCTAAAGAACTTGAGACATGTGGTCATAAACTAAAGGGGGGGAATGGTGGTGAAGGGGGTGCAGGGTGGAGGGGAATGAAAGGGGGGAAATAGAACAACTGTAATGGCATAATCAATAAAATATATATTAAAAAAAGCAAACCTGTAAACACAGACACAGAATAAGAAGAAAATAATCATTGGTTCTCCTCTCCCACGTCCAGAGAGATCTGGGTGCAGGAACACACATAGATGCCTCTCTGCATCTCCAAGGATCAGACTCACTATCAAATAATTGCGTATCAGAGAACAATTACTACAGGAAAATTAAACCCTTGAAACTCTTACCTGCAATGGTCAAAAGGTAAACGACGAAAATTTGTTTGTGGGATATCTGTTTAAAACAAAAATAAGAGACAGAAAATTGTTTTTGTAAAAAATTTCATGTATGTATTGCTACCAACAATTCAATTACATTTTAAGAAAAAGTTCATGTGCCCTGGCTGGTGTGGCTCAGTGGACTGAGTGCTGGCCTGTGAACCTAAAAGTCACCAGTTCGATTCCCAGCCAGGGCACATATCTGGGTTGTGGGCCAGGCCCCCAGATGGGGGCCTGGGAGAGGCAATCGATCAATGTATTTCTTGCACACAGATGTTTCTCTCCCTCTCTTTCTCCATCCCTTCCCCTTCTCTAAAAATAAATAAATAACATCTTTAAGAAAATAACATTAACTCCATTGTACATCTCCATCAGAACAGATTCATCAGCCCAATGAATCTGGGTAACCAGACTTATTATCAATGAATAGTAATATTTTGAAAGGATTTTCTTTTTCTGAGCAGCGGATCACAACAGTGGACTTTAAAGAGTCAGTACACCATGATGTAAAGAGATGTGATGTCATCCAGGCTCCACTGTGCCATTTATGAGCACAGGCAGAGTAACTGTAACATAATTCTTAAGGACCCTCACCGGCCTCAACTTCAAGTCACCAGCTGCATTAGTCCCTAACAACAGAGTCGGCCCATCCTTTGAAGCGCTGAAGGCGGCATCAATTTCTCCTCTCTAGTTATGAAAATCCTAGATGGCACCTTTCCCCAATATAAGCCTGTTTCATCTACATCAAAAATCTTTTGTTTATGGTTGCTACCCTCATTATCTGAGCTAGACTTTCTGAATATTCTGCTGCAGCTTCTACATCAGCAATTGCTGCTTTACGTTGCACTTCTATGTCATGAAGATGGCTTCTTTCCTTAAATCTCATGAACCGCTACCTTCAAACTTTTCTTCTGTAGCCTCCTCACTCCTCCCAGCCTTCATAGCATTGAATAGAGTTAGGGCCTTGCTCTACATTAGGCTTTGGCTTAAGTAATGTTGTGGCTGGTTTGATCTTCTAGCCACACCACTGAAACTTTCTCCGTATCAGCGATAGGCTGTTTTGTTTTCATATAATTTGTGTTCATTGGAGTAGCACTTTTAATTTCCTTCAAGAACTTTTTGCTGCATTCACAACTTGGCTAACTGGTGCAAGAGGTCTACCTAGCTTTCAGCCCAGCTCTGCTTTCCACGTGCCTTTCTAATTTAATCATGTCTAGATTTTGACTTAAAGTGCAAGACTGGCAGCTCTTCCTTTCGCTTGAACTGTGCAGTTATTAATTGGCCTAATTTCAATATTATTGAATCTCAGGAAATAGGGAGGCCCAAGGAGAGGGAGAAAGATAGGGACTAGCCAACCAATGGAGTAGCCAGAATACACATTTATTGATTGTGTAGGCTGTTTTATCTGGGCATGGTTCATGATGCCTCAGAAAATTACAATAGTAGCATCAAAGACAACACACAGATCACCAAACAAATACAATAACGAAAAAGCCCAAAATGCTGTGAGAATTACTAGAATGTGACAGAGACACAAAGTGAGCAAATGCTGTTGGAAAAATCATGCCTAGGCTTGCTCAAAACACAACGTCTGCAAAGCACAATAAAGCAAAGCGCAATAAAGCAAAGTGCAACAAAATGAGGTATGCCTGCCTCTACTAACTTGATAGAAAAAAGAATGTTATTTTAACCTCCATTTAAAAAAATATCCAGAGCCCTGGCTAGTGTAGCTCAGTGGATTGAGCACGGGCCTGCGAACCAGACAATCACGGTTCGATTCCCAATCAGGGCACATACTGGGGTTGTAGGCCAGTTCCCTGCAGGCCAGTTCCCAGCAGGGGATGCACGAAAGGCAACTGTACATTGATGTTTCTCTCCCTCTCTCCTTCCCTTCCCCTCTAAAAATAAATAAATAAAATCTTAAAAAAAATAAAAATAAATAAAATAAAAAATAAAAAAATATCCAAGACTAAACATTTTCTCATATTTTTAGTCTACCTTTTCTTTTCTGAATTGTCTGTCCTCAGCCCATTTGTCTACTATAGTTTCCATGTTCTTGTTCATTGCTAATTTTTAAAATCTTTATTTATTGATTTTTAGAGAGAGAGAGGAAGGAGGGGAGACAGAGAGAGAAACAATGATTTGTTGATTCACTTATCTGTGCATTTATCGATCGATTCTTGTGTGTGCCCTGACTGGGAATCAAACCCACAACCTTGGCATAACAGGACCCAACTGAGCTCTCCAACCAGGGCTAACTGTTCATTTTTACAGGCTCGTTGCATAGTGAAGACATCATCCCTTAATTACACCCCACACATACCAAGGGGAACAAAAGAACTTCATGCCTTACCTGGTTTCTTGCCACCATAGAAGTGCGTGTACTCTGCACACGTAATGTACCTGAAAGAGACAGAGAGGATCTTACTTCCATGCCCTTTGTAAAGAGGGCAAAGTCTCCAGAAGTAATGAGTGACTGAATCATTTCACTCATTCAGCGAATGTGTATTAAACACCTACTATGTGACGATCACATAATGATAAACACAACAGGCATGCGATAGACAAACAAGTAATCAAATGCAAACAGTCTGGCTCTGATCTGGAAAAAATGAACTGAATTTAACAGAAGGCTTGATGACGAGCAGGAGCTTGCCATGTGAATACCTGGGGGATGGGCTCTCTGGGCAGAAGGACCAAGCAGACATGTCATATATAGAAGCCATGAGGCAGGAAAAGCTGTTGTGTTCCCCAAAAAGGGTGAAGTCACTGATAAACAGTGTGCATGGGGGCATGTGACAGGAGAGGAAGAGACACAAACGGTGGTCAGATCATGTGAGGACTCTGGATTTGCTGTAAGCTAATGGAAAGTTGGAGGGTTTGGAGCAGAGCCCTGATGTGATCTATGTAATGTAAGTCCTCACAGAATCACTCTGGCTGCTGCGTGTAGAGGAACAAGCAAGAGAGCAGATCTCTGGCCAGTGTGGCTCAGTGGATTGAGCATCAACCTGCAAACCAAAAGGTCGCAGGTTCAGTTCCCAGTCAGGATGCATGCTGGGTTGCAGGCCAATGTTTCTCTCCCTCTCTTTCTTTCTCCCTTCCCCTCTCTCTAAAAATAAAGAAAATCTTTTAAAAATAAAATAAGAGAGGGAGCAGAAATCCAATCAGGAGATGACTACAAAGGTCCAAGAAGGAGTTAACACTAACTCTGCTTAACCCTGGCTGGTGTGGCTCAGTGGATTGAGTGCCAGCCTGAGAACCAAAGGCTCGCCAGTTCAATCCCCAGTCAGGGCACATGTCTGGGTTGCAGGCCAGGCCTCCAGTAGGGGACTCGTGAGGGGCAACCATACAGTGATATTTCTCTCCCTCTCTTTCTCTTCTTTCCCTTGTCTAAAAAAAAATTAAAAACAAAAAACAACCTCTCCCTATGTGGGAGTTGGTAGGAGAGACAGTGGTCGGTCAGTCCCTGGAAGAGTCAACGGGACTTACTGATGGAGTGGAGGAGAAGGAGGCACCAACACTACTAACTCCCAGACTTCTGACCTAAGCAAAGTGAGACAGGGAAAACGGGGTGGGGGGTGAGCGGAAGAGTAGCTCAGGCACTGGAAAACAAGGGTTCCATCTGGGGCATATCAACTTTGAGATGTCTATTGGACTTCCGAGTGGAGATGTCAATTAGGCAGATGGCTATTGCAAACAGTCACCCACAGAGAATGTAAGCGGGAGCAGAGACCGGGGATGTCAACCTACAAGGTCTGGAAGATGCAGAGGAGGACCCAACAAAGAGAGAGGCCACTGAGGTAGATGGAAAATAAAGAGCATGTGGTGTCCCAAATACCAAAGAAAGGCTTCAGAAGGAGACGTGGTCGATTGTGTCCTATGCTATTGAGAAACCCAGTGAAATGAGGACTGAGAATTGAGGCCTGAGAATTGACCACTAGATTTAGTAACAAGGAAGTTACTGACAAGCGTAGTGTTGAGGGTCAAAAACCTCACTGAAGTGCTTTCAAGGGGCAGCAGAAAACAGCAAGTACACACAGGGCTTTCACCTTAGATACACTGTGGCAACTGAAGAGGGACATGGATGAGGTTGGATTTAAACTGATTCCGTAGCATCCGTGTAGCCTGATGGGCATACACCCTTGGAGAGACAGTAGATGCAGAAGTCTGAGAGGGACTAATTCACGAGCAGAGCTCGTGAGTGGACAGTGTGGCATAATCGAAGTCGAAGGGGCTGTGTCCAGGGGGCGTTGGAGCAGTGGGAAGGCCGCGCCCAGGTGACGGCACCTAATGGTCTATTAGGGCAAACGCCTCCAAAGGCGGGATTCCGGGAGATCTCGGCAGCTGTTGGGGGAATTACACCCCCCCCCACCCGGGGAGGACGGCGGAAGTTTCTGGGAGTAAGCGACTTCTGCGAGGGGCTCTGGGGCCCAGTTCTGAAAAATGGGAAGGGAGAACGGGCAGAGTGCGGGACAGGCGGGGACTGAGGCAGGGCGGGGCTCAAGCAGAGCCAGGAGTTCCTGGCTACGGCTCAACTTACATCTTGTCCTTCTGGTGCTGTCGCTTCCCCATGGCGGCAGAGGTGGCAGTGGCAGGACTAGTGAGCGCGGAAAATCTTCAACACAGAACCTGGACCAACGCGTCTCGGCCTAAACAAGTAGCTACTTCCGGGTCCCGCCCCGGAAGCGGGCGCTGGGCATGCCGGGAACTGTGGTCTCCGGAAGCAAGCACACAGTCTGCGAGAGCAGCTAGTCCGTGGGCAGAGTTCTCAACTGGGTTCGGGTTCTGTTTGCTGAGCTGCCTCGGCCTCGAAGCCCCGTCTTCTGAGCAACTCCTCTTCCCGCTCGGCCCCGACTCAGTGCCATCCTACTCAAACCCGTCCCCGTTTTCCCCTGTGTTCTCAGATCTTTTAAATAGTCTGCCGGAAACCTAAGGTCCCACCAGCCTCTGTGCCATCTGTGCTCCTCCTCAGTGACAGATGCCTCCGAAGCGACATCCATATTTGCTGTGTACACGCTCACTTCCCATTGCCTCCACGCATTAGGTCCCCACCGCATCCCGGACCCTCCTCTGAGTGGCCTAAACCTGAAAGTCCAAAGCCCTCACTGATCCCTCTGGTCTCTTCTGACGAACCCTTCCCTGGACCAAATCACGTTCTTGTGTCCCAGCCTGAGCCCTGGACTTCGGTCAACACTCAAGCACTGGGTGATCTTGGCTTTAAGTATCACTTGTAACCCTTGACTCCCAACACTAAATTGCCAGCGCTCGACTCCTGATCTCTCCTTGGGTATCCGCTGATCTCAAGTTTAATGTGTCTCCTCAAAGCAAATTCTCCATCCCTCACCCCCTGCCCGCCTCCGCCCCACCCACCCCCCCACCGAGTCCCCACTCTCCTCCACTATACCATGATCTACCTAGTCACCCAAAGTCAGATGTCCTTGCCTTTCTCATGTCATCTCACAGCTCACTCCTTCTCATTTCTAGGTTTCAGTATAAATGTCACCTCCTCTGAGACACCTTCCCTGCCCATGCACCCACCCCATACATCTCCATTTCAGCTCCCATAGGGCTTTTCACACATCTTGTAATTCTGTATTAATTTGGGCTATATACTGGTTTACCACTCATACACACACACACACACACACATACACACACACACACACACACACACAAAGGATGGGATATAAAATCCGTAAGGCAAGGGGCCCAACTGCTTGATTTATTATCTCCAGTCTGGAGGAAATTGTAGGGCATACACAGTGGCAATGAATATCTGCTAATGTCGAGCAGTCGAGTATTTTGTGAGGACTCACATCTGACATGCAGGTTTGCTTCTAAGGTCAGCGTGTGAGGCAACTAGAGTCATTATCATTGAAATTCCTTAGGAAAATGCCAAGTTGAAAACTGACACACCAGCTCATTTTCCTTTGAGGAGGGAACAGATCACTGTAAACTTGCACCCAGATAAGGCTTGTGTTTAGGGGCTGGGTATAGAAAAAAAGGTAGCTCAGTGGGGTCAAGTAAGGGGCCACAGGGTCCCTGAAGGAAAGGGGAGCACTCTCTCCTCACTCGTTTCTCTTTCAAAGTGCACAGGGCTGGGTCCCGTGTTAGATTGCAAGGGGACTTCACAGTAGCCCTGCCCTGACCTCCTGCTATATGCAAGCTCAAGCCTCAGGGCCTCAGGATGGCCCTGGACTGACAACCTCTTTGGGCTACAAGGAACCCAGGGGATTGCACAGCCCTAGGGATCCCAGCACGAGAAAGGCATGTCTAAGAGACCTTTATTCACGCCTCCACAATGGTGTGTACAGAAGAGGTTATGGGCTCTTCTTCTGGGGCACAGACTCTGCACTGCCAGGGTCATTCTCTGAGTCATCTTTACGTCTGGGCACAGGCTGGAACTTGAGCAGGACAGGTGGAGTGAAAATGGAGGCCTTCGCAGGAGGGGCTGGCGTCTCCTCGGTGTTGCCGGGGTCACTACAGGACTCAGGCCTGTGCAGCAGACAGTCAAGACATGTCCATGAGGTCGGACACCAGCACACAGGGCCATCAGAGGTACTCATGACAAGCCTGCCCCTGGGCTGTGGGATGGCTCTAGATGCAATTTCATATTCCCAGAAATCTCCCCCAAGAAGGTTTGTTCAAGACTGCTCATTGTAGCAACATCGTGAATGTGAAAACCTGGAAACATCTCAACGTCTATCAGGAACTAAAGTGTAGCCATGCAGTGGACTGTTCTAGAATCGTTTAAGGAATGAGGTAGGCCTGTATTCCCCAACAAGTAATGAAGACACCCCGATGATACAATAGTGGAAAAAAGCAAGTCGCTGAGAGGTACATGCAATAAGATCCTGCTTTGGTTAAAAATTAACGTGTATGTGTTGTCACTCTTAGCAGCAGGGGATTTTATGTATGCATTCTTGTACTGCAAATTTTTTCCCATAAATATGTTTTGCTTTTGTAAGTTTTTAAAAACCAGTTTACAATATCCCATTTTTGGTGATACATCATGAGACAAATGTTCACTCAGAAATCAATAGGTAACAAGAGCCTGAACACTGCCCCTGTTGCCCTGACTGGCGTGGCTCAGCTGGCTGGGCATTGATTGTCCTGACAAGCGAAAGGTTAGCAGTTCAATTGTCAGTCAGGACACATGCTTGGGCTGTGGGTTTGGTACCTAGTCGGGACATGTGCGAGAGGCAACAGATGGATGTTTCTCTACCTCTCTCTTCTCCCTCCCTTCTCTTCTCTCTAAAAATGAATACATTTTTATTTTTAAAAATCGTTCCCATTAGTTAAATATTTCAACAAGCAAGAATGGTTGAGTATCCCTGGCCGGCGTGGCTAGGTAGATGGAGTGCCAGCCTGTCAACCAAAGGGTCACCAATTCGATTCCCAGTCAGGGCACATGCCTTGGTCGCAGGCCAGGCCCCTGGTTGGGAGTGAGTGAGAGGCAACCAGTTGACGCATCTCTCACACATCAATGTTTCTACCCTCCCTTCCCATCTCTCTAAAAATACATAAATAAAATCTTTTTAAAAATGGCTGAGTAAATGATGTTTCATCCATACAATGAAGCATTTTGCATCTATTATTATTGGTGAATTTAAAAGGTATATTTCATGACATGGGAGGAAACATGAGAGCTGGCTACAAAACTGCCAGACAGGATGTTCCCAATCATGTAACAAGTTACTGTAAGAATACACACTCGTGTATCCATCGGAAGCCCACACCAAAAGACAAATTATTGGCTTTTGTTATTGACAAAGTAACAGCAATTATTTCTAGTGGTGGGAATCAGAGCGATTGGTGTCTTTTTTTTTGTGCACTGTTCAAATTGTCTATTTGCCATATTCTTTTACATATGGTTTTAGAATCTGAAAAAAAGGTCATCCTTTTGAATGCTGTTCATACCCTTTCCCTTGCAATTCTACTTCAGAAACTTAATCTGAAATTCTGGAATGGCTTCGCACATAAAGATGTTCAACCCAGCGGTAACCTAGGAAACACTGGGGGCACCTTCCACATCTCCCAGTGGAGTTAAATAAGTGACGGCCCTACATGCACCAGGTGTTCATTCCACAACCAATGGAACTTGTGTTCGAAACACTGTCAGGAAGTAGAGAACTCACCAGGGCCTTCATGCCATTGGGAAAAGGCAGGAGAAATAAAAAGGCACGTCTAGTAGAATCGCAACTTTGTAAAATGATGCCTAGAGAAAGCTGGAAGACATCTTGACAGATGCCCTGATGGCAACCCAGCCCTGCTCCACTATTCTGTGAGGACCTGATGGGGCTCAGTAATGCTCTACTTTTTCATTTTGCTTTGTAACAACATGGCAACAGTGTTTGCTGACCGCTCCCTTCTCTGTGACCCCAGCAGCCAGTGCCTTGCTGCCTTCCCACCCCACCGCCTTCTGATCTGATCGGTTAGCCGATTACGTTTCCACTTAGATGTAACTCATGAATCTACATAATCAAACTGATTATAAACATTTTTAGACACAGTCAGTTTTCCCACCTACTCATCTCCTTGGGGTCAGTTTCCAGGAATGAAAAGACTAGATCAGAAAATTTGGGAACTTCTATAGCTCCTGATATATTTTAACAGAATGCTTTTTTTTTTTTTAATTTTTAGAGAGAGGGGAAGGGAGGGAGAAAGAGAGGGAGAGAAACATTGATCGGTTGCCTCTCCTACTTGCCTTGACCAGGATGGAACCTGCAACCTGCAATCCGGGCTCCTGCCCTGACCGGGAATCAAACCAGCAACCTTTCGCTTTGCAGAATAACCGAGACATGCCAGTCAAGGCAACAGGTTGCTTCTCAGAAGGACTAAACCTTAAACTCTTGTATTTAAAAGGATACCATCCAGAAAGTAAAAGACAGAATATTTTCTCACAGAATGGGAGAAAATATTTGCAAATCATATAAAGGTCTTGTGTCTACAATATATAAATGTCTTACAACTTAAAAATAAAAAAAGACAACACATAACAAACACTAGGGAATGACTTTTCCAGCCCATGACTACACAAGGGTCCTTCCTGGCAGGGGAAGGCACCATCATAAAGAACATTTGTCCAGCCCTTGGCCACAGCACCACAGTGCCGGTCAGAAGCGAAGGGTGTGCTGGGCCAGGACAGCGCCTGGCCCCAGGGAGGCTCAGAAGTACACTTACCAGGGGAAGCCGGGGCAATGGAGTTTGTGCACCCTGTTTCCAGGCAGGTATGAGAAATGGAAGCCTCCGGGGTTGAGGACCAAGGGGGTCAGATCGACCATATGGCTGCGAGACAGGGCAGAGGGGGATCATCAGCTCCAGGATCTTCCCAGGTGGGGCCTCCCCGGTCTCAGAGGGCACCGCTCTGACGTGGGGACACAGACCTTTGAGCCCAGACTCCGCCCCTGGACAATGAGAATAAGCACTCGGGACTGTGGGGAGGATTAACCAGGAGATGGGGAGGAAACAGCAGCAGAGCGGAGCACCAGGCGTGCTCCCCACAGGCTCCCCTTTCCCTTGCCTCATGCCCACAGAAATTCCTTTTACCTCTTTCGGTTTGATGACTGGCCAGTCCAGTTTATTTTCACCTCAGAACTGGAAACTTCCATTTTCTCCATCTGCAGGGAACAAATGACATCTCAGGACAAGTTTGGGGGCCTCACCATGAAAGAAAAACCACCAATACAAGGACTACGAGAACTATGTGACTTTCATTCAGTCAGCAAATACATCAGGCTCATCCTCTGTGCCCATCTTGAGCTTGGTATTAGGAGGGGACAGGGGATGGGATGGGGGCTAGGGGCCAAATGAGAAGGTCCTCACCCAGCCTGGGGGATGGGAGGCTGGCCAGAGTGAGCGTGTAGGGTGAATGGGAGTCAGGAGAGGCAGGTGGTTAGGAAGGACACTACAGGAGAATGACACCAGGGAGAGACTCGGCAAGGGGGCCTGGGGTTCTCCACCTGCCCTTTGGCGGCCCCAGGATTCTGCTGGTGCCTTGCTCAGCTGAGGCTGAGCAGGTAGAGCTCTATGCCTTCAACCCCCTCCCTGACTCTTCAATCAGAGCAGCCCCCCTTTTATCACTTTATCCATTGCTGTTCCACCCCAGACTTTGCCTGAAGTCTTAGAAAGGGCTCTGCTGCTTAAGAACAAAGTTCTCAGAGTTCCCAGGAGAGCCGCTGGCTCCCAGCAGGGTGCCAGAGGCTGCCACACCCTACGCTGCATGGAGGGACGATGCACCCACTGACCGACTTGCTAGGCAGTGGAGGAAAGGGACCAAAGACCCTTGGCATAGCATAGACGGGGGGTGATGGGGCTGTCGCAGAGGCCGTGGTGGTAGCAGGTGGTGGCATCGGTGGAGGTGGCAGCAGTGTTGGTGGCAGGCATGGGGAGGTTGACTGGTCCCGCAAGAGGATGGGTTCCGGTTTTTTCACTTTAGGCTTCCTTCTCTTCTTCTTGGCATCTGTGACGAAAGGTGCACGTGAGTGCCTACCCCTTAGCCAGAACGGGGTGGAGTGGGAGCCAAACCTGATCGCGTGGGGTAGTCGGTCTCCCCAGCACAGAAGGGAGGCAGCCCCCTCAGGCAATGCCTATAACCACGTAGCAATGCTTACAACCACCTGTCCTGTGGACAGGCACCCACACGCGCCACCTCACTGACCCCACAACCATCCCATGTGGGAAGGGTACTTTCGTCTCTGTCTTCACGAAGAACCGGAAACTCCAACTGTATAGGCACAGGCAGACTTCACAACCAGGCCGCCCGATTTCGAGGGCAGGATTCCATGGGAAGTGATCGAGTGTCACTGCCACGGAGGGGGCCGGGCTTGGCCTGGGCAGGTGGGTCTGCTGCCACCGCAGCCAAGCATCGGGGAAAGCTCTCCAACCTAGCAGCACTGTTGAGTGTCCGGGCCCTGGACAGTGAGCCCGCTGACTATCCCCAGCCCCGGGGCCATCCTAGGGCTATGCGAAGGGCCCTTCTATAAGAAAACCCACATGGAGGTGGGCTTGCACCTTCCCTCAAGGAGGGAATTTTGAGGGGAAGGACCCTGGGACCTGTCGCCTCTTCTCTCTCCACGTTAGATCTTCCTGGCTATTTGTACTGTTCAAAACTGAAGACCACCAGTAGAGAGGGCATTAACAAGCTCCTCATTCCGCCCCTCAGAACAGCTCATCTGGAGTGATGAGAACCAATGCCAGGGAGCACTGTCCCGGAGGCTGAGAGCCTGCAGCCCAGAGCAACCCCGACCTGAGCTCAACTCTGGGCCCCATCACTTACTGTGTGACCTCGGCCCCCTGGGCCTGCTCCCTCTTCTGCAAAACATGGATAAATAACATCAGTGCTACCTCAGGAGGCTGTGGTAAAAGGTACACGTGCTGTGCACCCTGCCGCCGGATGAAATGGTGACACAGGGCCCTCACGCTCAGCATCATGGGAAGTGAGACACCCAGGGGAGCTGGGGCTCCCAGTGGGAAGAAAGAAAACAGCCCCCCCACCAGCACAGTCTCCCACTGAACACCAATACATCCAATGAACTGAACCCATATCTAATCCAGGTGTTAGAGCAACTGTCCAAGAAATGGAGGCCGAGGGAGACAAACCCACACCAGTGACCGAAACAACGGAGACAGATCTGAAAAGTGGGGTGCCCCGAAGGACCATGTCGATCTTCAAAGTCCATAGCAGGGGAGGGGATAAGTAAGAGCTTCCATCTCAAAGGGGACTTGAGCAGCAGCAGTGGCCACGTGTCCTCATGCGCCATCCCTGGGCAGTCACAGTATGGCCCTCTGTCATTTCACCCTCACAAGTGCCTCAGTATAGACACAAACTATACGGCCACCCTGGCGAAAAGGCACCTGAGAGGCCTGACACCCACGCCACCGTGTGGCCTTCTTGGGCCTGACATGACGGGCAAAGGTGGCCTTTGTGACCTCCTGGGAGGTCTGACTATGGACCAAGTGTCAGCGAATGATAGGGAACTGGTGTCAATTACATCAGGTTTGACACTGTGATCATGTCAGAAACTGTTTTGGATTTTTTTAACTTTTATTAAAAAGCATTCTAAAGTATTCGGGAAGACAGTGATGTCTGAGATTTCCCTAAAGTGCCCCAGAAAAAGCAAACGGGGGTCTAGAGAGTGCAAGGAGCATGAGCAGGGCAAGATGGGGCAGTGGCGGCGGCTGAGTGATGGGTACCTAGGTGCTCACTGCAGCCTCCAGTGTTGTGCACGTTCATGTTCCTAACGCAGATTTCGGGACACGGGGTCCTGGGTTGGGTTTGCTGGGCCACTGGGCCAGGCAGAGGTGCAGCCTCACCCTGGGAGTAGAGGTGCACGCGCTGGATGCTCCTCTTCAGGCGCTGCAGGCGCTGGTGCATCTCGTGGGCGCCCATGCTGTTGCAACAGTTCAGCTCCCCCTGGACCGCACAGAAGAACTTGGCCTGCGACAACAGCCAGAGAGGTAGGTCAGGTGGAAACTGGACGGTAGGGCCCTCACCACCACACTCCCCAAGCTGGGTGGCCTCGGGCTTCTGGAAGACCCGGCCCAGCAACTCTAGCTAGTGCCTCCTCCCCATCCCCAAGCCCCGCTCCAGAGGGCAGGTGGGGGAGGTGAGAGCTCCGGCCCTTGTCATCCCCACCCCGTGCCCTGCAGCGCCGGCGGCCCGCACCCAGAGGAAGGAGAGAAGCCCGCGCTGCTCGCACTCTGCCTGCTTGCTCTTGCGCACCACCCTCTCCGCCAGCGCTGGGTTGCGGTCCAGGCTGCGGAAGAGGCGGCGCAGTGCGCGCTCTGTGTAAGTTGTCGCCTGCCTCTCGAAGTCCTCCTCGGAGATGAGCTGGCAGAAGGTCACACTCTGAGGGAACTCGTGGTCGAACTCGTCCAGGACCTCCATGCAGGTGGGGCTGCGGGGCGGGCCAGACCGCCTGCAGGGCGGAGCTGTAGGGATTAGGGCCCCTGCAAAGGCGGGTGCGCTGGTCTCAGGCAGTGGGCGTTTGTTCCCCTAGCCGCCACGCCACCGCCCCAGCGCCCCCACGGGAGGAGCCAATCCGGAGAGCCGGCCGCACGTGACAATGCCCCTGGCTCTGGGGGAGCGCTCTCTTGCCTTCAACGGGAAGGGCGAATGCCACTAGCCACTGCGCTGGGCTAGATCCCCACGGAGTGTGGCAGGGCTTTGGTCCGGGCCCAGCTTAGGGCCACACAGAGACTACGGCCAGGGCCAGAACCTTCCTACTTCCTCGAAGCCCTCATCCTTTGCCCCGCCTCCAGGCTCTCCCTATCCCTGCGGCTGTACCCCCTTCCTCATGGTCTGTACTCTCCCAGTCCTCCAGCCAGCGCCCTGCTTCTCCCACAGACAATGGCCGAAGGGCTTCACTCTGCCCAACTTTTCCAGCCTGGGACGTTTTGCCCCCTTCCTGTGTGGTATGTGAGAACCGGAGCCCATTCCCAAGCTCCAACTCCCCTTCCCATCCTGTGGGAATATGATGAAGGTAGCACTGTGAGACCTTGGGAGGTGGGCCAGCTCCCCGGTCAAGAAAGGGCCAAAGAAAAACTATTTGACACGAGCCCAAACTCTAAACAAGCGTGGAGGACAGCTAGTGTTTAGATCTCACAGTGTGCGCCCTGGCAGCCCCTCCGTCCCCCGCATGCTTGCTTGGTTTTCTGTACTTATGTAACCCCGTGTGGCAGAAAACCTCACCAGCCCGCCACCCTGGAACACAGTAAGTCCAAATAAACCCATGTCTTTCACAGCCACTATTTTGGCTTCCTCTGTTTACTTCTTTGGAATTGGGCAAGTTTTCTGAGACCTCAACTCTTTACATATACTCTCTGGCATCAAAACCGCTCTTCTCCAACCTGTCCTCTCTCCCCCTGATATAGAAGGCAGTTATGCAGACACGAGCAGAGGAGGAATGGTCGGCCAGGTACATAAGGACACCAGGGAGGAAAATCCTGGGTGCCTAGCAATAGACATCTGTGGGTGGGACCTTGCCCCCAGGTGACCTTTCCTCTGGCAGCACATTGCTGGCCCTGCAGCCGGGACCCTCCCCTGACCTTTCCTCCCCTGGCGTGTTGCTAGTCATGTGGTAGACTTTCTCGGAAGAGGAACGAGGGGGCAGGAGAATGGCCTCATTCGACCCCCATACAAGCCCTCGCATGACTACTCCTTTAAGCATCAAGCTTGCATCAAATAACCTGAGGAATAGAGCCTTGGATCTGTTGACCAGAGACAGAGTTTTGCTCAAACTAGAGACAACATCCGGGCATCAGTTGTGTTTCAGCTCCAGGCACGGAAAACCAGCAAAACCAGGTGACCGGTCAGTGGACGCCTTGATGCTGAGGAGACACACCTGGAAAGCTCATATATATATTCTATTGAGAACCTCTGCTGACCCCCAGACCCCCAGATAAAAGCTCTTTAAGACTCAGGACCCAGTGTGCACACACCCCCTCTCTAGAGCATGCCAGAGCTCTTTCCCCACTCCTACCACCCGGCGCCTTTTGCCTGCCTTTTTCCAAACCTCCAAGGGCCCTTGCGTTTGCCTCTGAAACTTGCTTCCTGAGCCCACACAGCTCAGCTGGCTCACTTCTTCCACAGCTCACTTCTTCTACCCCTGTGACTTTCTAAATAAACTCTTGCTTGTTTTTGAGTCTTGGCTCTGAATTCTTTCTTAGTGAAACTCAGCCAAGGTCTCACATCTGCTGCTGTTTTGACATTAACACCCCTTCATAACCACTTCTGTGCCATATCCTCACTGTTACTTCTCTGCATCTCGAGCTGCAACTTATGCATTGCAGAAGGGCCTGCCTCCCCCATACCATCTGGATGATCTCATTCACTTCTTGGTCACAACCCAGAACTGCCTTAGCAACCCTAACCTGCATCTCAGACTCAGGCCTTCCTTGGGCTCCAGACCCATGTCCAGCGTCTGCTGGGGACATTTCTTGGGCATCTCATGTTAAACACATCCAGATTGGCATGCAGTATTTTTTTCCCTCTCCTACTTAGTCAGTGGCCGACACCACCATCCACCCCAGCCACAAATAAGGGGCGTACATCCTGGGCTGCTGCCTCCCTGTCTCCTCCGCACATCTCCCTCCAACCTCCACTCCCAAACCAGCCCTGAAAGCCATGCAGCGCACCAGAGAAGCCTAATGAGATATTTCACCTCCTGCCTATAAAGCCCCAGCCCTCAAAGCCTCAGCTCTCCTCCTCACAGACAGCAGCACTCACTTCCTCCTGCTTTAGAGACAACCAAGGAGGGAGATCTGGCCTGTGTGTTTGCCTAGGGGTGCAGGCAGATACACCTGAGTTCAAAGATCCATTCTGCTTCCTGACCCCTGTGACTTACAAAATGAGACTTTACTTTAAAATACATAGTGTGTGTTGCCCTGGCTGGTGTGGCTCAGTGAATCAAGTACCGGTTTGATTCCCTGTCAGGGCACACACCTGGGTTTCAGGCCAGGTCCCTGGTGAGGGGCACACGGTAGGCAACTGATGGATGTTTCTCTCACATGTCAATGTTTCTCTCCCTCTCCTTCTCCCTCCCTTACCCTCTCTAAAATTAAATAACATTTAAAAAATAAAATAGCCCTGGCTGGTGTAGCTCACTGGATTGAGCGCGGGCCTGCAAACCAGACAATCGCGGTTCGATTCCCAGTCAGGGCACATACTGGGGTTGCAGGCCGGTTCCCTGCAGGCCAGTTCCCAGCAGGGGACGCAAGAAAGGCAACCATACATTGATGTTTCTCTCCCTCTCTCCTTCCCTTCCTCTCCAAAGATAAATAAATAAAATCTTTAAAAAATAATAATAATAAAATAAAATATATAGTGTGTGCCTTTTTATAAACAGAACAAGCATCCTTTAAGGGGTCAAGCAGACCACTGATTAACCTTCTGACCACGTTCTGCTATTGTCACTTCACAGTCTCTATGTTTACTCGTATTTTTAAAAGGTGTACGGGGCACTCTCTGTGCTGGGCGCTGCCAAGAGATTAAAAACAAAAAAAGAAATAAACAAAAAGAAATACATGGTCCCTGCCCTCAGGGGTTCCCAGTCTAATGAGGACTTCAGCCAGGAGGAGAATATTTCCATCTAACAGGCTCTGCTGAAGAACACTGGATGCTGTTGGAACCAGATAAGGCTTCCACTGGAAGGCAACATTTAAGCAGACCCCTGAGTCCACCAGCAAGGGCTTCTGCTGACGGGTACAGAATCTTACAGGAGTTAGTGTGGCCACCTCCAGCCATGGCTCGGTGGACAGGCCTGAGCCAGGTGGCCTTGGGATGGAGGGAGGGAAGCATGCGCCACTGCCCCTCATCCTCCCCATGAACACAGGGCTTCTACCCCCAGGGTGGAGGTGAAACTGGTATCAGCCAGGGTTAAGAGGTATAGCCAAATGCCCATCTAGAATCTGGGCTACCTCTCAAGGGGACAGGATTCCATGACTGTCATTGGGCACATAAAAACCTTGTGCATTGTGTCAGGCCCTGATGGTGGAGGTGGCCCTGCCAACATGCCTGCAAGCCAGGCTCCTTAGCAGCTCAGCTCCAATCCCCCCAATTCCAGCTGAGAGGGTGGACATGCCAGGCATCTCATAGTCCCTCCTGCAGGCTCAGGGCAGCGTATCTCTCTGTAAGAGAACAAAATGGTACAGTTGGTGGGGATCACCTGCAGGCTTCATATCCCAAGGCCACCTGCCCACCCCAAATAGTGCTGCTCCTGCTGAGAACCCAGGAAAACATTCTCTTCAGGCTCTGCAGGGCTTGGTCCAGTTCACCTCCACATGGTCAAGGGTGAGCTGGGTCTGAGCCTGCCTCAGACAGACCCTCCATGCAGAGCAGTGGGCCTCTATTTCTCCACAAGACCATGACCAAACCTGGAGTTTCCAGTCTTACCCAGGGTGCTGGTATGAAAGATCCTCTTCAAACCAGAGCTTTTCTGAATCCAGGGCCTCTGACCCCACGCTGTCCAGCCATGACCCCGATGGAAAGTTTATGGGGTCATGAACAGCTCCACACTCACCTAATTCTCTGACAGAGGGTCCAGCCCAGCTCTGCACCTGTACCTGACTGCTGGGAAGTGGAGTGAGGCAGCAAAACCTCCTCGCCCCAGGTGCTGTGTGTGGTGGGCTGGACCTGACTGATGCCCTTTCATCATTGCACTGCTTCCCAGCAGCCCACAGTAGTGCAACAGGGAAAGAGTGTCAGGCAGGCCTGCCAGTGCCCTGGTCTCCTCTCCGGTGGTCGGTGGGTGGGGATCTCAGACCAGGAATGCAGGCCTAACAGGGAGGGGCTTCTGCCTGGGGGAAGGGTACCCTCTGACCCCAGAGGCCCAGGCCTGGCCAGGATCTCAAGTTTCCATGGAGAAGAGAGCCAGCAGAGCAGGGGGGAGGGGAGAACCTGCAAGCCCAAGGGGCTCCGCCTAGGGAGGAGGAGATGAAGTGTGGGGGAGGGGGGTCCCCAAGGTTGGTCCCAGATGCTTTGACAATACCATTGCACTGCTTCTCAGAGCACAGTAGTGCAACCTCGTCAGAGCACCTGCAGCCAGCAGTGGGGGACCCCCCCCACAACAATACACATAGGGTGGGGAGCTCAGTTGTGGGTAGATGGGGCTAGAGGCCCTTGTCCTGGACATCAGGACCAAGAGGGGTGATTTCCGGGGGGAGGGGGGTCTGCAGTCCTCAGGGTCCTCGACCCCAGGGCACCCAGACCTAACTCAGCCTGCTCCAGCCAGAGGTGGACAAGAGACCCCCAAACTGAAAGGTAGTTCCAAACCAGTGGCGGGAGTGGAGGGGAGGAAGGAGCGCACACACAAAGGAGAGGGTCCCGTGCTCCACCACAGACCGACACCCACTCGAGCCTGAAGCAGGGGTGGATACGGCGCAACAACCCTATGCCCTCACCCGGCCCTGAGGCTCCCAGGAGAAGGCTGGCTCCGCTTGGGGACGACGCTCTCCTGCTAGCCCAGGCCCCCATCCCTGGCCCTGGCCCCCAACTTGGGTTCCGCGTTTTGTCCTAACAGATTTGCTGCCCGGAGGCCCAGAGCGCAGCAGAGGAACAGGACAGGGTGGGGTGGGGAGTCCCGCCCTTCTAGAGTGCCCTGCCTGGAGAGGGCTCCTGGGGTCCAGGCTGAGCCCCTCCACACAGACCTGCCAGTTAGGGCCGCCCTGCCAACTCCCAGCGACCTGCGACGCTTCTACTCACGCGGCGGGACACCCCTTCCTACTCTGGCCCGGGCATGACGAGGGCGGTTAGCAGGAGAGAGGTCCGGGCAGACGTCCGCCCCCGTAGTCTCCACCAGGACGACCCCGCACCTCGTGGCGCCCTCTTGTCCGCCGGCTCCATCTTTAACCCGCTGACAGTCGGAGGGGACGCGCCCCCAGCTCCTGAGCATAACGCCGCGTTCATTGGCCGGCACCGGAGCGGAGCTTTGCCTCCCTCACAGCGATTGGCTAAGACTGGAGCGATTTCAAAATAGCCTCCGGGCTGGGATTGGCGGTGCTGCGGCCAAGTCTAAGGCTCGGTGGTTTCAACAATGAGTTCTACGAACACTTTCTCCCCATTCATAACTTATCAAAAGAAACTTTGCCGCCTTTTCTCTGCTCCGGTGTCTGCGAATTTTCTAGCTGGGAGGACAAGAGGACTTGGAAGTCCAGTGGGGGTCCCCAGCCCAGCAGCTGAGCCCACAGAGGATGGGGTTACGACCTTTGGGAAATGCCCGAACCCATTCGGTACAGCCCGTGGTAGAGCAGAACTGCAGATCTGCTTCGTTTTCTGTCCTGATACTGCTCCCTGTACCTCACGGACGCGATATTCACCTGCGTCGGGCTTTCTGGCTGCGGTAGCCCTCACTGCCACTCTCCCACCACCCCCTCGCATCGACCGCTTCCACCCGAGTGGAATTTGCCAGAAGCCACCCGGGTAGGCCTGGGCTGTGGAGCCCTGTGGATCTGAAGGAGGTACCGGGAAGGGAGAGTCGGCTTGGATCCCTGCGTGACTGCGATCCACTTTGTGGATAAGCACGCACTAAGTGCTACCCTCAGCTGATGACCTGGAAAGATATACATCCACTGGCCCTCACATAGCTTCGGGGAGGGTGTGTGTGCCTGTGTGTGTTGGGGCGGTGGCCAGGAACGGGGTGCTTAGGGCCCTCCTGTTTCATTCTCTCAACCCAATGGCTGAAAGCAAATGTTTTTGAGGCAGGCAGAGCTAGGTTTGAATCTTTATTAACCATGGTTGCTTCCTCTGCAAAATTAAGACGGTAAGTGGACCTGCTTACAGGGTTACTGCCGGGAGCAAATGAGAGGCTGTTTAAATCGTTGGCCCAGCATCAGGCGCTTCCTGTTCAATAAAGGAGAGCTCTGTTGCTGCTGCGGTTTTAATTTTTGGTTTTGTCCTGAATTCTGCCCTGAGC